CTGCAAATATTACAACCAGACAGATCCGAGATGTTCAGTTTTCTTTAGCTAGTAAATTAAAAATATAATATTATATAATTCAAACTACATAATAAAACAATATAATACAAACATACAAACTAAAAAATCTATTACAAACTAAGCTACCTATACAAACTAAACTAAACTACATAATACACACAATATAATATGAACAAGAACTTAAAAAATAATGTACTAGAATTGTTGAACAAAAAATTTTGCCCATTGTTCTCTACTTTCCGTAATCTCGGATTCGGTAATGGAGATGGATCTTGAAATACCTGAAACATGAATTTGACTCTTGTAAGCATGCAACATGAATAAAGTTAAATAAACTTAACTAATGTTAAAAGTAATTACCTCCGTCCAAGAATCAATTAAACCCGCACAAACTATGGCTCTCATCCAATACATTACATAGTAACCACATTCAAACGAGTCAGTTTGCTTATTACACCGAAATGATGAAAAAACATAATATTATTTTCAAAATTGAAATACAAACAATAATTATGGTATTCACTTATATAAATAAGTTTCTAACCTTAGGATAAATGAACTGTAAAGTCTTTGTTCTAGGTTTTCCACTTAGAACATTAGTTCCGATACACGATTCTAAGTGAAAAAAGTCATATATTATTCAATATGTATTCACAATTTAAAAACATAATTAATGAATAAAAGATAAAGTTACCCTTGTAATAAGCTTTTCATTTCTTGACTCGGTTTCCGATGTAATGAACAAAACCACACCACGAGTGTAATCCCGGGACATGATTACAATTAACTGCCAATGGGACCTACATTGTATGACATAAAAATTAGTTACAAAAATATAAATTAAAATACAAATTAAAATACTAACCCTTCAATGTATGGAACCAAATATATATGTCTTCTTGAGTCACTCATCCATGTTTGCATATATTGTTGGATTCCAACCTTTGTATTTCCAGATTTTTGGATGGATTGAGGCTCAATAAATCCAGTATACTTCGATTTTTCTTGTTCCACAATCAAATTGTCAAGGTACCTAAAACAATTAATTATAAGTTGAATATAATTATTATAATCTTAGAAACATAAATGAAAATGACTTACATTGCCCACAATTGTATGATGGAAATGTTTAACATGCAATTTCCCCCAGCAATTTCTAAAGCATCGGGCAAGGAAATGTACAATGGAACATTGGAATTGTCAATTCCAAACACTCTAACATCTCATTGTATCTGACACGATCTCTTCCTCAACCGTGGTAATACAGCTAACAACATAGAGATGGGATCATCATCACATTCTGTCAGATCCTCATCAATAATAGGTTGTTTTTTATGCTTAGCACGACGCAGTGGATTTTCTCAGTGGATTTCTTTTGGGTCTTTCCAAACACAATATTAATATTTTTCACTTGCTCATATACTTGTTCACCATTGCGTGGTACTGATGCAACTGCATTCTCCTGACATCCATTAAATGCTTTTTTCATTTTATGATATGGATGATTAGCAACTAGAAACTTTCTATGCCTATTGTACGCAGTTTTTTGTCCATGTTTCAATTGGATATAACTTGTGTCTTCTTGACATATAGGACACGCTAAATGACCTTTCACACTATAACCGCTCAAATTACCATATGCTGGAAAATCATTTATAGTACAAAATAACATTGCACGCAACCTGAAATTCACTTCGTGATATGAATCAAATACATCCACTCCTGTTTCCCACAACATTTTCAAATCATCAATTAAAGGACTAAGATATACATCTATGTCATTTCCTGGTTGTCGAGGTCCTGAAATCATCATAGATTACATCATATATTTTCTCTTCATGCATAACCAAGGAGGCAAATTGTAAATGATCAACATAACTGGCCATGAACTATGTTTACTACTTAAATTTCCATAAGGATTCATCCCATCTGTAGCTAATCCAATTCTCAAGTTTCTTGGCTCTGCACCAAATTCTGGAAAGGTTTCATCAATCCTTTTCCATTGTGGAGAATCAGCTGGATGTCGAAGAAGATTGTCACATTTTCTACCATTTGCATGCCATGTCAAGTTTCTTGCATCTTCTTTTATGGCAAAAAATCTTTTAAACCTAGGTATAATTGGCAAATACCATAACACCTTAGCAGGGGGACCATCTACTTCTTCCTCACCACTACTTTCCTCAACTTTGTTTTTGAACCTCGACAAACCACATGTCGGACACATCTTTAATTTAGCAAAATCATTTATGTACAATATACAATCATTAGGACATGCATGTATTTTTTTGTACTCTAAACCCATTGAACATAATATCTTCTTTGCCTCATAGTTACGAATAGGTAATGTATTATCTTCAGGAAGCATCTCCTTCAACAACTCCAATAATTCGGTGAAACTTTTATCAGTCCATCCATTTCTTGCTTTTAAAGTAAACAATTTTAAAGTTGCTGATAATCTTGTAAAACTACATCCTATGTACAATTGTTGCGCAAAATCAGATTTCAAAGAATTATATAGATGTGTTTCATAAAATTTTCTTCACCAATATCACGTATCATATCCTCTAGATTATCATCCATCCCTTCATCAAAATTGTCTGTAGTTGACATAGTTGGGATGTCTAATATTTCTCCATGCCATGTCCATATTGTATAACTCTTAATAATACCATAAACAAACAAGTGATCACGTATATCCTCAAGTTTATGACGAATTTGATTCAAACAACGAACACATAGACAATATTATGTCCCTTTCATAGCTTTTCCATTTTCACTAGCAAATTTCAAAAATTCCTCAACTCCCTTTTCGTACTCTTCACTAATACGATGTGCATTCATCCAACTTCGATTCATATTATGTTATAAAGTTTCGTCACTCCTAGAGATTTAAAAATTATATGTAAAAAAAATTAATATACAAACAACAAAGCACGTTCCAACAACAATGGAGTGTGTAAACCGAATGCACTCAAACAAATAAACAAATAATTACATTCCAATAACAATCCAGTGGAGACATTCATACTATAACGTGATTGAGATCCCCAAAAACAATCACGGATTCAATGTAAACATATAGCAATGACATAGAACACTAACCTCGAGTGTAGACGAAAACTGATTTCAAACTCGAATCCAATCGGGGAGAAAGATCAAGTTCGTCAAATGACACGATAATGTAGATGCTTTTCACTATAAAACTACTCGAAAATGGTGTGCAGAGGTAGCTGTTGTCGTCGTTCTCGTCGTCGTTCTCAAAAACCCTGGTTGCGTGAGACGAGGAAGTGGGTCTGGAGGGAAATAAAATAGACTTTTTACGTTGCGCATCCCAGCACGCGACATAAAAAGCCATCTTTTACGTCGCACCTGGAGGGCGCGACGTAAAAGATGTCCTTTTACGTCGCGTGCTAGGGGGCGCGACGTAAAAGTCCATCTTTTACGTCGTGCCTCCCAGGTGCGACGTAAAAGAGGCTTTTTACGTCGCATACTGGGATGTGCGACGTAAAATTTTTGTCTCATATTTACAAAATTGTCACCGCGTTTTATTTACGTCGAATATACATGCATGCGATGACAATTGGGTGACGTAAAAGCCCTATTCTGCACTAGTGCGTAGAAAGTACTTTCCACGTCGGTTCCCAGATGAACCGACGTTGAAAGTTGAATATTAAACACATTCTACGTCGGTTTTTAGTCAACCGACGTAGAAAGTACTTTCCACGTCGGTTCCCATATGAACCGACGTGGAAAGTCTTTTTTTTTTCACCCAAAAATTCACTTAAATTTGAAAATGATCACTGGTAGGATTCGAACTCGGGATTTTAGAATTGAAAACTAATACTCTAACCACTAAACTATTATAATTTTTTGATAATAATTTACAAATAAATTATATTTATATATAAATAAATATACATATCCATGTAAATATATATTTATTTGTATATATTTTTTGGAAAGTATTTTTATTTTTTTTTTAGCCAAAAATTCATTTAAGTTAATGAATTGTCACTAACAGCATTTGAACCCAATATTTTAGAGTTGAAAGTTAATATCCCAACCACTAAACTACTATAATTTTTTGATAATAACTTACAAATAAATTATATTGGTATTTTTCGATTAAGGGTGAAAGTGGGATTGACTCTCGGTTGAGTGAAAATATGTTAAAGCTCATGGAAATTCACTCACTCAAGCCTCGCTTGAGCGAAAATTGGTATTTTTCGCTTGAGAGTGAATGACACGTTTCTCAAATTTATTTTATATCATTATATAAATAAAATTATAAAGATTATATTACGTCATTAAATTACAAACTCATATAAAGATACTTGCTCACAAATTTAGCATCAAATTTTGAAAACCCACTCGACACACATTTTCACTTTCGAGTGTGCCCTCACATCCAACATATAAATATATAACTATATAAATATATCAAAATATATAAATATATTTATATTTATATATTTACACTGGATATATATTTATTTGTATATAAATATAATTTATTTGTAAGTTATTATCGGAAAATTCTAGTAGTTTAATGGTTGGAGTATTAGCCTCCAATTTTAAGGTACTGGGTTTGAATCCTACCAATTCTTTTAAAAAATTATTAATTTAAAAAATTATACTTTCAACGTCAGTTTAGTGCAACCAATGTTAAAAATAATAATAATAAGAAGAAGAATAAAGGAAGGAAAAAGTTGATTTACCTCAAAGGGGGAACAAATGAGCAGTGTCGCTCCTTTTGCTAAAAAAGAGAGATTTACCAGTTGGGATTGTTCGGTTAACAAATAAAAAATAATAATAATAAAAAAACATCAATTTTTCATACACCCTTTTGCATCTTCTACATTTCCCTTTCCTAAATTTCCCTTCGTCTACTCACACCTCTCTTTCCTCTCCCACTCTTTCTCCCTCCCCAATTTCTTTTCCTCTTTATATTTTGAAGTTTGATTTTGCTGGTCGCTCCAATGGAGAAATCCTTCTCTTCCCTCAAGAGGAAACGTTCTAAGAAATTATCCAAGGTATTCTCATTATTCTTATTATTGTTTGAATTTTAGGGTATTCAATTTTAAGTTTCGAATATATTTCAAGGCAATCTCGTTAATTTAATTTGTAGGAAAAGTAAACTAATGTTCTGTTTCTGTTATTGCCTGCGTTTGTGCACGGAAATTTGCCAATTTGTGTGTGAATCATGTAACTGACTTAGAATGTTTTCTTTTTTCCTGGGGTGTTATAGGTTTCTTTTTTTTTATTAAATGTGTTGATTATTTATATTCGATTTGGTTGTTGAGTATTCCAACCTGAGAGTATGTAGTTTGTTGAGTGGATTGATTGTCACAACAAATGTAAATTCATCTTGATTTTATGCTAATTTTATGGTTTAGACCAAATTAAGCAGTAGAAGTAAGAAGAGTAAGAAAAATAAATTCAAGAAGGTTCGCCGTCGTGAGGTCTCTCTTTCGAGTTCTGACTATGATGATTCAAGAAGTTTGGACATATCAGCTTCTTTTAGTTCTGAAGATAACAGAAGAAAAAGGGATAGGTCTCACACAAGAAAAGATGTGAAAGGCCATAAGAGGAAAGCTCGGGGACGATCTTACAGTCGTGACAGCAGTGAGGACTCTCATTATGCTAGGAAGAAAAAAAAGGCAAAGAGGAAAAATGAGCGTGATGAGGCAAAGAAGAAACCTTCCCAGAAGAAAAAGATTAGAAGAGAAGCAAGTGTTGATTGGATGCGCAGCAGATCACAGAGTTGCTCCACATGTCAGGATGAGAGTATTAACGGTGATGACTGTCGATATAAGAATCACAGGGGAAGATCGGAAAGGAAAGAGAAAGACAGAAGATCGAGAGGAAGAAGTGGAAATAAAAGGAGTAGTAGATACAGGGCCAGAAGTTGTTCTTCGTGCAGTAGTGAAAATAGTTATGAAGCTACTGAGGAGAAATATGTAGGTGGGAAGAATTCCAGGTGGCTCCGATCAGTTATTACTGTCACAAAAGAAGTGGAAGAATATGGGGACTTGTGTAGAAATGAAACCAAGGAGGAGATTGTTGATGATCATGATTACCCTTGTAGAAGTAATGACAGTAATGATGGGGGCACAAGGAGAGAGTTGGATCATCATACACATCTTGCATCAGAAGAGAAACTGAGTGTTGACAATGAAGCAGGAGATATGAATGCTGATCTTAACTTTACAGAGGCTGAACTTAGAGATAGGAGCTGCAATGATAGCAGTAACCTTAAAGCATATGGTGCTGGGACAAGTGAGTTTACTAAGGAAACAAGCGAGTCTTCTAATGCTAATGTGAATGATGATGACTTGGAGAAAATTCTAAGACAAAGAGCACTGGAAAACTTGAAAAAATTCCGCCATGAGATGCAGTCTAGGGAAAACGCTCCTGATCTGAAAAATAAAATTGTTAGCCGGGTGAAGCAACAAATTACTGATAAGCAGGAACTGGTTCAAGGTAAGTTTGTTGTCAATAATGCAGTTGTAGGAACAAAATTTGATAAGCGAACCCCTGGAGAAGAAACGAATTTGCTTGTTGGGAGGAGAAATTTAATTGCTTGTCCAAGAAACAATGAAAGGATTTTAGACGCAGATTTGGCCTGTACACCAGAGAAGGTGATTGATTCACACAACCGTAGTGGTACAGTCACTGGATCAACGAACTACAATACAACCAATTTAGAATTGATCAAACAAACACCAAACCCATGCCTTCATTTATTTCAAACATCTGCTTTACATGAACCTACCAATGGAAAGTTACTGGTAACTGAGGGTGATGTAGAAAGCAATGCAGCTAAGATTCCTCATGCTGCAGTCCAGAGTATAAATAACAGTAGATATGATGGTTCATCAGTAAAGAACAATTCAGACAAATTGCAACTTGACTCCAACCAGGGCTCGCAGTTTGAGAAGAAAACAATGAATGTGATGCGGGGTGGTGAAATGGTACAGGTGAGTGTGTGGCAAACTTTCCAATATTCTGAATGTTACTGACTTAATGTTGGACCTCGAATATGGTACGTAATCCGTTCCTTTACCTGTCCTTTTTATTACTAGTATTTTGTGAATATGTGCAGGTTAGCTACAAGGTCTATATCCCTAATAAAGTCCCTGCTTTGGCTAGAAGACAACTCAAGCGATGATCTACACTATTTGTTCTTCTGGTGAACAAAATGTTTATAAAGTTGTGTTTACCTTGTTTGGGACATGAAAAGGCAGAAACATGTGAAAGAAAGTGTAGAAGTGAAGAGATTATCTGTGGTTCATCCGTGTATGAACTCCGAGAACTGCACCAATTTCTCTTTTAACTACGTTTCAGGCGACATTTTATTGGTAGATTATCTGAATGTGGTCAGTCAGAGTAAGATTAATGCCAGCCTTTGCAATATGAAAAGATTTATTATTTCCTTTTTGATAGAACATGAAAGACCTTGCCTAAGTTCCTTCTGGCATATGCAAACAATATATGTTCTTTTTGTTTAAAATCTTTATTTGAAGGGAACGGTCACTTATTTTTTAGAACTTATAAAATCAGCATATTTGGATGAAGTATATTGCCAAGCTGTCTTGGAATTTCCAAATCTCTCATTTAGGGGACACAACAGATTGCCCATAGACCCGCACTAACTTCAAGCATCAATAATTTCTTATCATAACAAAACTAGTACGTTTTTAATGGTTTAATTATTTATTTCGTCCAAATATTTTTATAGTTGGTTTCAATATTATAAAATAAAAAATTTAATTTGTGATTTTTTTAAATGATATTATCTTATATATATATATATATATATATATATATATATATATATATATATATTTATATTTATCAAAATAAGTATTGTGTTGTTTTAATATATTGTTTATTATTTACTATTAGAATCATTTTTTTTATTTTTTTTTGTATATATACAAATTATTATATTTATTCTAAATTATATATATATATATATATATATATATATATATATGATGTTAATTTTTTTATAAGAAAGAATTATATTATAAAATTATTAATATAAGTAAATAGAACTTTAATATCTTTTTAAAAATATCTAGACTTGTTTAATATTACTTTTAAAATTAATATTAGTATATTTATAGTAATTTGATTCATATGAATATTAAAGTATACGTAATAATAACAAAGACATAAATTAGAATATTATATACATGAGTAGGTGTTAGGATATTTTTTTGGTGTGGCCAAGTACGAGCACAACATTTGGTAAATTATGAAAGGTATATATATACGAATCGACTTAAGACGATTTTTTTTTTTAAGTTCTTATCGTTTCTAGATTTGAACACAAAATTGACTTCATAAAATGTAACCAATAATCTTCATGTTTTAGTTATCTAAATAATCTATCATAGATCTTAATGACTTTGTAAGTTACATGTAAGATTAATGTAATTCACAAAATCATATTGTGTGTGTTTATATGCTATAAGTATGTGTGGATACAATAAATGAAGCTTTCTAATACTTATTACATTCACACCATGATTTGACTAACATTATTATAAATCAAACTATTGGTCTCACCTTTGTCGAATTAACAATTTCCTCCACTAGAAATGTTGTGTTCATTTGATCGTCTTAGCTAGTTCAAGCTTCATAGGTAGGTAGAGGAAGGAGGTTTTAGACGCCCCAAAATGTCCCATTAAACCATCCTCATGAGACTCCTTGACAAGTAAAATCCTTAAGGACCCCTGAGGTATGCAAATCCTTTTTTTTTTTTTTAAAGATAGTCTTTGTGAATGTAAAAGTCCTTGTGACCCCCCTTCAGGAATTCACTATAAATCTTGGAAAAGTCGTCATCTCTAGGATATAGTTCTCGAATATGATCAAAACTTGAAAATTTTGTTTCTAAAAGGCTTAACAAAGTATGTCTCCTTGATAAAGCATCAACTACTATGTTACTCCTCCCTTGCTTGTGTTTGATCACATAGAGAAATTTCTCAATGAACTCTACCCACCTAGCATGTCTCTTGCTAAGTTTACTTTGGCCTTTCAAAAATTTAAGGGATTCATGATCATTGTGGATCACAAACTCCTTTGGAAGAAGATAATGTTGCCAAGTTTGCAAAGCCCGAACAAGAGCATACAATTTTTTATCATAGGTGGAGTGATTGAGATGACTTCCTTTTAGCTTCTCACTGAAGTAAGTTATGGGGTGGCCTTCCCGAAGCAAGAATGCCCCAATGCCTATATTTGAAACATCACACTCAACCTTAAATGACTTGGTGAAGTTGGGAAGGGTTAGAAGTGGTGCATTGATCATTTTTTCTTTAAGTGTTTGGAAAGCATTTTCATGATTCTTGTCCCATTGAAAACCCACAACCTTCTTCACTATTTCATTCAAGGGGGTCGTAATTATACTAAAATCTTTAATAAATCTTCTATAAAAACTAGTCAACCCATGAAAACTCCTCACTTCACTTACATTTGTGGGAGTTGCCAATCTCAAATTGCTGCAACTTTTTCTTCGTCCACTTGGACTCCCTTTGAACTCACTATAAACCCTAGGAAACATGATCCATGCCAAAAATGCACTTCTCCCTATTTGCATACAAGGTCTCTTTCTTAAGGGTTTCAAGTACACTCCTAAGATGATATACATGTTTTTCCTTAGACAAGTTATAGACTAATATGTCATCAAAGTATACCACTACAAACTTTCCCATAAAAGATTGGACCACGTGATGCATTAGCAGCATGAATGTACTTAGAGCATTGGTTAGACCAAAGCGCATGACCAACCATTCGTATAGTCCAAATTCGGTCTTGAAGATGACTTTCCATTCATCTCCTTCTTTGATTCTGATTGATTATATCCGCTCTTCAGATCATTTTTGGAAAACACGGAAGTTCCATGTAACAACTCATCTAGTAAGTCATCCAGCCTCGGGATTGGTATACTTAACATTTATACTATTGATTGCCCTACAGTCTGTGCATATCTGCCAACTCTCATCCTTTTTAGGGACGAGAATTACCAGTATTTCATAGGTTCAACCCTTATCTTTTAATTCCTCGACTTGTCTTTGGATCTTCTAGGTTTGCCCTATAAGCTGACAAGTTAGGAATGGATGAATCAAGTAAGAATTCTAGTTGATGTTCGATCCCCCTTAGAGGTGGAAGCCCCTTAGGAGGTTCTTGAAAAACATCCTGAAATTCATCCAATACTAACTCTAGAATCTTGGACAAACTTGGATATTGTTCATGAAATGCAGGGGAAGAACTTGGAGGAGGATATGCTAAGAGTAGGGGTTTTTGAGCTAAAATTACCTTCTTAATCCCCTTGTGGGAGATCATGATGCCCTTTGCCTAGGAGGTTGACCCCTTCTCTTTCTTTTCTCTCATTTTTTTCATTTTTTTCTTTTCTCTTTTTTTTTCATTTTTTCTTAGTCCTTACTAACTTCTTGGGAGGAAAGGGGTTTCAAAGTGATCTTGCGCCCTTGGAACTTAAAAGAAAACTTGTTGGTATAACTGTCATGAAAGGTGTTTTTATCAAATTGTCACAGTCTACCAAGTAAAATATCAGATGCTTCCATTGGCACAACATCACAAAGAACCTCATCCTTATAGATCTCAATCACAAAGCTAATGAGGACTTGTTTATTAACCTTTATCTCGCCTTCCTCACTAAGCTAAGAAAGCTTGTATGGCTTGGTATGAGGAGTAGTGGGCAAAACAAGCTTGTCTATTACCCTTGTGCTAGCAACGTTCACACAACTTCCTCCACCGATGATGAGTGAACACAATTTGTCATTAATAAGGTAGCGGGTATGAAAAATGTTTTCTCATTAAGTATCGTCAAGATCCTTTTGGACTTGACTCAACATCCACCTTACTATTAACAAATTTCCTTCACAAGGCGTGATCTCTTCATCGCTTGAAGAAGAGTGTTTAAAGGAATTCTCTTTAGATGAGGAGGAATGTTCACTCTCGACATCTTCATTTGTGCTCAAAATCATAGTCCTTTTGGTAGGATTGTTTGAAGTAATGTGTCCATACCCAAGAATTTGAAACATTTTATGAAACTAGTCCTTTGAGGTGCGGAGGTGTTAGAAGTGGTGTTCCTTGAAGAGTTGCCCTTAGGGAGCACTTCTTGGAGACCTTAAGAAGGGTTTCTCTCTGATTTTTCCTTTTCCTTGCCCTTATCTTTCCAATTTGAACTGTAATAAGCGAATAACTCCTTGTAGCCCCATATTTTCTTTTCAATTGAGCTTCGATTTTCAGGGCAAGATGTAAAACATTTTCAATTGAGGAGTATTCGTATAGTTATACTAAGTCCTGAATATCACTTCTAAGACTACTAACAAACCTAGCTACCTTAGTCTTGTTAGTTTCATCATGCATACTGATCCTAAGTACCAAAGATTCTAGCTTCTTGAATTAATCATTCACACACATATTACCCTGTTGAAGTCGGCTTCAACAGGAGCTCCCTCCTATAGTAGGAAGGAACAAATCTAGCGCGTGTTAAATGTTTAATGATCATCCAATAAGCTGCGGGTGGCCCTTGGTAATTATCATTACAAACCTTATGCCACCAAGTCATGACATATCCCTCAAATTCTACTACAACTAAATCTACATGTTCGTGGTCCCTTATTGGGTTTATATTAAAGATTTGGTCCACTTTAACCTCCTAGTCTAGGCAGACTTCTGGATCATTATCTCTGTAGAACTTAGGTATCTTGATGTTGTTCCTTCTTGGAGTGTTGGTGCACCTAGAATGCCTCCTTCCATGGTATCTCTTATCTTCTTCTTCTTGGGAACTTGGTGAGTATGAACGTCTTCTTTCTCTTTTGGACTTCTGTGCTTCTAGTCTTTGGATTATCTCCCTTAAGTATCTTTCACTTTCTTTCCAAGACAACTCCATCTCTCTAATTAATTCTACTAGAGTTTGTTCCGGGTCCTTCATTTGTCCTTCATTTGATGCACCCCTTTGCTTGCCTTCTCTGATGAAGAATTTGACATGTCTACAAAACAAGTTAAACTAACACAAAACACGAAAGATGAAAGGTTAAAAAAAAAAAATTAAATCAAGTCACTCAAGTGTTTCACTCCTCATACTAGTTTGATTGGTAGGATAACTCCACTCTTCAAGTAGAAAATTTTATAAATGTT